GAGTTAATTGCTTGTTAGAAACTTAAGGTCAGTGGCCCCTGTTATGGTTTAACTGGCAGTGGTTTAAACAGATCCTAGCAAAATGAAGCAGTGCTTTAATTGTGGCTGAAGCTTTTAAGTTTAAATGAAGTTTTGTTTCCTAAGGTCATTATGGTACCAAGTGCAATTTTTCTTCTAACGAAGCTGGGTCCAGGGATATTTTAGATTACCCTGAAAAGATTCTCATTTAGACTACAGGAATAAAAACACGTATCTACCAAAGGGTTTGCCCCAGGCCATCTGAATTTAGCTTCATTATTTTAGCAGAGCCAACTTCCTTAAGGAAATGTGATTCATGATGGAGAGTTTCATTGGAGGATATTTGTAGCTAACATAAAAGCTGCTTATGTACACATGTACATATAATTTGCAGAATATCCAAATAAATCCTGATGTGAGTTTACAGCACTTGGAATAAATGCAGTGATGCCAAACTCTTGAGGGAAGAAGGGGACTTGAATACTTCATCAGTGTGTGAAGTAGGTCTGCAGCATCAGTGCATCATGGGCTTCCTTAAAGAAATTGATGTGGTGTCATCCATGTCATAAGTAATAGTCAAAATTTTAGGACTTAATATGCAGGGATTTGAAATCTTCAAAAACTCAGACAGTGATGACAGAACAGTGTTCCTGCCTTTATCAGCTCATCTCTAAATCCAACACGTCACATGCAGAAACATCTCAACAAAAATTTCCCAAAGCAGTCCGAGTAAAAGTGTGCTTCATTTCAGATGTGCACCAGCCTTGTTCCCACTGGCCTCTGTAGTGGGTTGGACAGCAGCTAACATTCCTTCTGGGAACGTGCTGACACCTGCTCAGGATGAAGCTGATACACCTAACTTACTGCCTGAAGTAAAAAATACTACGCAGAGTAATTACCCCAACAAGCGTGTCAGAAATAGATACTTGGAAATAATACTGTCATGCCAGTATTTCATTACTTTGAACATTCTGTCACTCCCCCCAGAGTTCTCCTAGCAAGGTAGGCCAGCCCAGGCCCTGCAGTGATCGTGTTTAGCAGCAGCATAAGGAGAAGTGACAGCCACCGTTCCCTCCCACGTTATTCAGTACAGCAACACACCCAAACTGAGCTGGAATACATACACATATTCACTGGATGATGTCTGTATCGCATTAACAAGCTTTGACACTAATGCTAATGCTTCACTAGCAGAAACATGACAAGTAGGCTGGTTCGGTGTGCATTCAGCACTGAAAGATTTCTAGCACACACAGTGAGACTTCTGTTGCTGCCTGTCAGCTTTGGCTGTCTCAAATCTCTGCTCAGTCACAGGGGAGGGGCAGCCAGCAGCGCTGCCTTCCCTCCCTTGGCTGCGCGGGGGTCCTGGTGCAGAGACCGATGATTTGTGTACAGGCACGGACATTTAATCCTCAGGAGTGTTTCCTTCGGGGTCTCCCTCGGCAGACGCTGCAGAGGAGAGCAGAAACGGGGGCTGTGGCTTTGCCGGGCGTTCGAACGGGGCAACAAAGCCAACACTCCTGACGCTGCAGAGCCTGCAGAGAGTTTGGAGCGGGAGAAGTCGTTGCCGTCTCGTACATGGCAACCCGACCTAATCACCGCAGCTTAGCATCACCGAGATGAAGCGGCGAGCGCATCGGGTTTAACAGCACTAAACCCCGCCCGAGCCGGGGTGTCTCGGAGCGGCGGCACCGCGGGCGGGAGGGCGCGCCCAAGGCGGACGGGCCCCTCCCACCGGGAGCAGGCGCTCGGCAGCGAGCCGGCCGGGACGGACGGGAGCCGGGAGAGAAGAACGGGAGCCGGGAGCGAAGGAAGGCAGGCGGCAGCGAAGGAAAGGAGCCTGGAGCGAAGGAAGGAAGGGAGAGAGCCGGCAGCGGACACGCGTCCTTGGGCGGCGAAGCGGGGCTGCGCGGGGCAGGGACCGCTCGGGTCACACAGCGGCTCCCCGGGCGCGGCGTGGCCAGCGGGACGGTCCTGCCGCGCTTCGGGGACTGAAATAAAGCTCAGTGTCAGCCAGGGAGCCCTCGGTCACAGGCACCTTTGCGTTTGCAGAGCTTGGGGGAGCTGATGCAGACCGGGCTGACAGCTGACGGCACGCCCGGCTAGAAGATGCTTCTCAGCTCTCCGACAGGCTGGGACAAGGGGAAACAGACACCGCACACGGCCACTGGGCCATGGCAGCTCCTTCCCAGCCTGCGCTTTCTGACTGCCAGAGATTTAGGGACTGCCTGTCTCAGAGAATGGTCAGAGAAACAGAGGTTTCCTGTGACTGGGTGCAACACACCACCTCGGCAAGATGGTAAAATCACCCCGGTTTCGGGTAACCATGTCCATATTGAGGTTTTTTTAACACCAACGGCAGCTTCTTGCCAACAAGTTCTTAATATCCCCCAGCACAATATCCATCAGCCCAAACTGCTCCACAGCTACAGCTGTCATTAGAGAGGTGAATTTCTGCTTTGTAGTGCCCTGCAATGAGCACTGCAGTGAGGAGGGTGATGCTCCAGCTGATGCTCAAGCATCGGCCTCCTTACCCGTGGCAGGGATGTGGCCCCGCTTCCAGCTGGACTTTGGGGCTGAGCCAGACAGAAACACCCAGGTCTCAGCTACACGGAATACTAAATGTGCACAGCTGGAATTAAAGCACTTGCACCCTCCAGGACTAAGTGGCTGTCCCTCAATCTCATGACTGAGGGCCAGAATTGTGATATGTTCTCTTCCAGGGCCAGAATTGTGATATGTTCTTGTCCAGGGCTAAAATTGTGATATGTTCTCTCCTGTTTCTGATTTCTTTGCAGGCTGTGGAGATGCACATACAACCCTGGCACAGCCACGCTGAGGTCCTTTCTGCTGTGCCGGCTGGGAAGCTGTCCGACAGAGCCACGGGTGCTCCGGCTGCTGGTGAGTGGCTTCCTGGATATGTGCAGGGCACACAGTCCTTCACACAGGACTTTTTCCCTTGGGCTCCGAGCTTCCACTCTCAGTTGTTGCAGTGAGCCGTGGGCAGCTGCTGTGGACAGCAGGGCTTTGTCAGCCACATTTCTTCCTCAGTCTGTGACACTGCCACTGCCAGGACAAACCTGTTACCGAGGCAGGAGCTGACCCACACAGACTTCTCACTTGCTCCCCATTTCCTGGGTAGGTGCCCACTCCTCCTTATCTCCTGGAGGAACAGATTGCTCTGGATTAGCTCCATTTTTTCCAGAGAACCTTTGATCCTCCAGGAGGAAGGTTTTGCCAAGCTCATAATTGTTGCCTGGTGGGGCCGTGCTTCCCACGTCTCCGTGATGCCAGGTGCCCTGCCTGCCCCTCTGTCCTGGTGCCCGCTGCAGAAGGCTCCTTGCAGGCAGCCCTGGCACGCTGCCCTCCCTGTGAAGCTGGCACAGCCCAGGGCACTGTGATGCGGGAAACTCAGACCTGCCAGTTTGGTCTGTGCCTGCCGGGACATTTGGGTTTTCCTCCAGCCTTTTTTTATTTTGGTTTGGGTTTGTCTGTTTGCTTGTATATCTAGGTTTGTTAGTGTTAGCGTGGTGATTGCTTTAGCTCCTGTTGCAGTTTCTGCAGTGCAGGTCCCTAGGGGATCCCCACTCTGGGAGTTTAAGGGATGAGGTCCATCCCTGTGTCCCCAGATGTGCTGTGGTCAAGCTCCCTCACCCCGGGGCGTGACGGTGAGGCTTTGCCTGGGGTAACTCTTGTCCCCACAAGATGTAACCACCCCGCTGTGACGGTTCTTGCTCCCAGCACCTGACGACCGTCTCAGGGGGAGACTTGTTCCCGAGGCTTTTTCCAAGGCTTGTGCCCGGTTGATGCTCTATTCCCGGAGCAGCAGAGAAGAGCAGTGATGCATCTCATAAGGAATCGTGAGTGAACCGAGCACGGCAGAACCGAACCAAATTCAGCCGAACCGAGCTTGGCCGAACCCGGCAAGTGGCACCGAGTTTGACCGAACCCGGCCTGCAGCTCTCGTGCCCATTAATTAGCGCGAGTGCGGTCACAGCCTAATGAGCTCCTGCCCGACCCCGCTCTGCCGTCCGTGTCCGTGTCATGGCCGGGCCGCCCGCGGGACGCGGCAGCAGGAGAGCCCCGAGCTGGGCGAGTTTAACGTGAGGCGGCGCCGCTTTCCCGCCCTCAGGGAGCCGGGCCGAACGGAGCCGAACGGAGCGAGAGACTCCGAATTGGGCCGAACCGAGGCGAGTTCAGCCAAAGGCACGAGCAGCTCCGAGTTGGGCCGAACCGAACCGAGTTGGGCCGAACCAAAACAAGCTCAGCCGAAGGCAGCGAGTGGCTCCGACTTCAGCCGAACCGAGCCGAATCTAACCGAAAACAAAGCTTACGGATCAGGGATGGTTAGTTGAGGAATGCAGTAAAGGGAGGGACGTGAGAGAAGTAGGGAAGATGGGATTTACTGGAGGGTAAAGGGGAGCCAAGGCAGTTTTGGGGTAAGAAGTTCAGCAGGCTGAGACAGCACAGGGAGGGCAAGAGGGAAACAGAGGCAGAGAAATCAACAGGGAAAATGCTTTGATCCAAAAGTCCATCACAGGCGCTCATTACCGGGCACGAGAGCAGGAGACTGGGTTCGGCCGAGCTCGATTCGATTCGACTCAGTTCGGCTGAGTTCGGACCACGAACTGGTCTGGTGTGAAATGCGGCTCGGCTGCCCCCTCTCCACGCCGGGCCTCTGACAGCAGCGGCCGTTCGGGAACGGGGAAGAGCTGGGATCGCTTCTCACCGGGAATGATCAGGGACCAAACCTGGCTGCCACTGTGCATGACACGGGTCCCGTTCCGGGAGCGGGCAGGGCCCTGCAGGGACACAGGGAGCCGTAGCTCGGGAAGCGCCGCCGTGGGGCCGCAGCACCGGCTCGGCTGCGTTGGGATGCGCTCGGGGCCGCTGCCTGCAGTACCGGGGCGCGTCCCGCAGGGGGCGCCCCGGCGGGGGCTGCGGGGCGGGGCCGGGGCGGAGCGCCGGGGGCGAGCCCCGCCCGGGGCCGGAGCCGTGCGCGCCCCGCGGCTTTTCTGGGAGGGCGGCGGGGCCCTGGCGGGGCTGTGGTTTGGCAGCGCCTCGGGGAGAAGGGCACGGTCCCCGCAGCCGTGACTGGGCTGTAACGGGGAGCCGGACGCTGCCCGGCCGCGTGGTCGGGGCCGGCTGCTGGCAAAGGGGCCGGGGTCCCCGCCCTTTCCGGGCTGCGCTGTGCGCTTGGGGAGACCTTTGGGTGTCTGCGGGCACGGACGAGGCGTTCCGGAGCTCGGGCCCAGGGTGAGTACGTGCTCTCCCACCTCGGGGCTGTCCCGAACTGCGGTTCCCAGCCGGGGGCAGGAGCAGCCGTGCCGGGGCTGTGCCGGGAGCTCAGGGCTGCCCCGGCCTGGGGCCTATCCCGCGGCAAAGTGCGACATGGCAGAGAAGGGAGTCAAGGGTGCTCTGGAACTTGGAACCTACACCAGTGTTTTCCAAACATGTTCGCAGGGATTCAGCTGCAGGGAGGCTGCAGAGAAGGCTGCTCGGCACTGCTCCCCAAAATGGACCCTCCCCGAATGGGGTCTCGCAGAGGATGGAGCAATTGCAGCCACCGGGTCATTGCTGTGAAATTCGGTCAGTCTGGGGAAGGCTTTCCTGACTGTCCCTGTCTCCGAGCCAGCTGTGCCCTGTCCAGCGGCCCTGCCTGGGCAGCCGGCTCGGCACAGCTGGGTCCCTGCTCCCAGGCTCACCGGAGGGAGGCAGAGCCACCAAAGGAAGGGGCACGTGGGCCCTGCAGCCACGGCAGGAGGAGGGAGAGGAGGCAAAGCCTCTGCACCCGCCCTGGGCCCAGGAGAAGCTTCTGAGAGGCACCGGGGGCTCGTGTTTGTCCAGAAAGCTCAGGAGCTCCAGGGAGGCTCAGGGGGTGCCCCGGCCCCTGCAGCACTGCGAGAAAAGGGGCAGGTGAGGGTGCACAGGGGTCGGCTGCAGTCCTTAGAAGCAGGGTCTGCTTTCACCACTGTTGTGCTGCCTGCAGGGACCAGTGGCGTGCATTGGGAGCTCCTGCTGGGGCAAAAGCTTTGTCTTCCAAGGGGCAAAGCTGCAGCCTCTTCCTCACCAGGGACTGCCTCCATACAGGAAGCAGCACAGGGGACTGGCCGAGGGGCTCAGCCTGGGCACGGCCCCAGCAGGAGCAGCCCTGGGCACACTGGCACAGGAGGATGAGCCCAGGTGAGGAGCACGGCCCCAGCGTGGCACCAAGAGGCGCTGGCACAGGAGGATGAGCCCAGGTGAGTGCTCTGACCTGGGCAGCTTTGGGGAAGGTTGCGGGATCAGGCAGGAAGGAAGGAAGGAATGCCCCGATGCACGTGACCTGAGGAAGTTGTGCCGGGCTCTGGCTGAGGGGAACGCGCTGTGCCGGTTCTGGTGCTGGCCCTGCTGGGGCCCCTTTGGGCTGGCAGCGGGCTGCAGCAGGGCCGGGGTCACGGCTGTGCCTCCGCACTGTGCTTGGCCGTTCCTTGGGAAGAACGTGGTTGTGCTGTGGTTTCTGGTTGTGTGGCCTGTCCTGTCCTGGCGTGGTTTGGGGCTGCACTGGCAGTGCTCCTGGACAGGGCCCTGGCTGCCGGGGGGCTGGGACAGGAACTGGGGCTGGGATTCAGCCGTGCCTGACGATGGTGGGAGCCGTCACTGAGAGGGGCCGCACCAGAGCTGCCCGGGGGTGGCTTCTCCTCACACCATCGGCAGCCACCCAGGGCTGCTGCTGCTTTGGCTTCTGGTCCCAGACAGGCTGGGGACGATCCTGCCCCGCTCCCCCTCCCGGGGGGCTTCTGGTTGTTCTGGGCCCTTGGTGGCCGGTGTCATTTGCTCCTTAGTGCCGGCCTTGGCTCGGCGTTGTTTGAGGGACGTGCCCTGTGGCGTGTTCAGGCTGGGATCAGGGTCGTGCTGTGCCTGGCCCAGTGGTGTTTGTCAGGATGGGCAGCACAGTCTGTGGCTCCCCAGTCCTGCTCTGGGGCAGGGTGAGGGTGGCTGGGGGAAGGTGCTGGGCCGGGCCAGGCTCAGCCCCAGTGTTGTTTGGTGGCTGGTTCCCACAGTGCCCCTCACTGAGCAGAGGGCTTGCAGCAATCTGTGCCTCCTCCTCTGCTCCTCTGGGCAGAAACGTGCATTTTTGGGGCTGAGCCCCGAGCTCTCCCGTTGAGATTTCTGCCTCCCTGTCCTCGGTGCACGGTCTGTGCCCAAAGCAGGGGCAGCAGGGAGGGAAGGGCTGCCCCTGCCTGGGAGGGGGGACAGGCATCTCGTGTGGGGCTGTGCTGTGCACCCCGGCGATGCTGACTGACCCCCTTTGCGCAGAGACAGAGGAGACGCTGCTGCACCACGTCCCTGCAGAGCCCCGCCTCCCTCCTGCTCTCAGGGCTGGGACTGGGAGCCACCTCCGTGCAGACAGAGAGCGGCCCCTGGTCTGGCTTCACTCCCCGAGGGAAGAGGCTGCTCAGAGCTCCTGGTTAGGGACATCCACGCCTGCGCCTGGCTGGCAATCCGGGGTGCACCAGTTCCAGATCCAGCCACGAGAGGTTCCTGCTGCAGCTGCAGGTGAGCTCAGCTCTCCCTCAGGGACGCCTGTGCCTGTGACAGCTCCAGCTGATGGACACCGGACAAGAGCTGTTCCTGGTGCTCACAGCTCCTGCTGATGGACCCCTGCTGACTTATTGCTCAGGATATCTGAGGGCCCAGGTGATGTCTGTTCCTTCTGCTTGTTTCACTTGCAGGTGTTACCCAGTCCAGCTTGCTGAACCCCCAGCTCTGGCTGTGGCGTGTTCTTCATTCCAGCTCTGGAACTGAGATGCTGCAGTTGATGGCTGCTCCAGTTCCTTCCAGCTCTGCCTTAATAACTGCTGCTTTTTGTTACAAGCCACTTTAAAGCTCCAGCTAATTGCGGTTATCTGGGCTTTTGGCCAAGTTGTACATGACTCACTGTCATCAATTACATATAGCTATTGACTTTGTTATAACTATTAACTATTTATTGTCATAAAGTTATTGTTTAAATAGAAATAGAAGTCATAACTGTTGGTTGTGCACAATAAACAGTTGGACGTGGAAAAGGGGCTGAAAAGTGCTTTTCTTTCCTGAGACTGTCTCAGACCCCTGAAACAGCCTGGGCCCTGCTGGTGTCCCTACGTTTGGGGACCAAGGCGACCGGACCCCTCCTCCAGAGAGGGTCCTCATCCCCAGCCCTCCCCCCAAAGGCCCTCCCCAGCCTCTGCTCTGGGGGCTGAAAGCAGCCAGCTGAGCTGCTGTTTCCAGGTTTCTGGGAAGTGCCCCTTGGTCATTTTTCTGAGTCCCAGAAACACTGGACTAGACCTGCATCCCCCCTCCCCCCGGGACCCCCTCCTAGTGAGGGGGCCCCTGTAACTCGGACCCCCCACTCCAGGACCCCCGCAGTGTGATTGATGTTGGGAAAGCCGGAGCCCCGGCACTGCAATGGGGGGACCCCAGCGAGGGCGGGGGCGCCGGGCTCCGGCCCTCAGGGCTTTATTATTGCCCAGCACCCCGAACCCCACGGCTGCGAGGGAAGGAGAACGAGAATAGGGGAGCAGAGGGGTAGGTCAGGGCAGGTGGGGAGAGGTCGGGGTGTGCAGGGCAGCAGGGGACGGGGCTGGGGGTAAGGCAGGGTGGAGGAAGGAGCAGGACTGAGGGCAGGTGGGGGGGGGGCGAGGGAAAAGGGGCAGGGGGGAGCCCAGAAGGGGAGGGAAGGAAGAGGGAGAGAATAGAGCAGTAGGGTAGGGTAAGGTTAGGGTGCGGTAATAGAGAGGGGGCGGCGGGGGACGGCCGTCGGGGGGGAAGGAGGGGGGGTATTTGGGGAGGAGGGGGTGGGGGAGGAAGGGAGGGTTGAAGGGAGAGGTATAGAGAAAAAGAAACACAAAAGAAAAGAAACGCAGAACAAAAACATAGAGAAAAAGAGCTATAAGGCCCCGGCCGGCAGCATCCCCAACACCCCCCCCCCCCCCTCCCCCCCCGAACGCCGAGGAGCAACCAGCTCTGCCGCGCCCTCCCCGTGCCTTAAATCCCCAAGGCCCCGCCCCGCGCAGCCGCACTGGGCTCCCTCACACCTGTGCCGGCCCGGCCCCGGGGCCCCGCCTCCCCCCGCCCATAAATCCCGGCGGATCCGCGCCTGTCCCGCTCTCTGCGGGGGATGCGCAGCTCGGGATGCAGTGGGAGCCGCGGTCGGAGCGCTGTGCGAAGATCCGGATCGGGGGCTGCTGCTGCGCGGGGTCCAAAGCGCTCAGGTGGCACCCGGGGATTTGGGTCCTGATCCTGCCGGTATTTCCTGTGGGAGCTGGGCCGAGCCACTTCTTCCTCGGCGGGCAGGGTGCGGGTGCTGGGGCTGGAGGATCAAGGTGGGATTGGGGCTGGGATCGGGACCGGCATCGCCGCGTTCGGAAAGAATCACTCCGGGACAGGCGCTGCCGCTCCGGCTGTGGCGAGCGCAGAGCTGGGTCCCGCCGGGGCTCCGGCTCCGGCTGCGGCAACAGGGAGCCCGTGCTGTGCTACTGCCATGCCCGCCAGGAGGACGACGCTTCCTGGGAGCAGCCTCTGGATCGCGGCTGGAAGCGGGAAGGACACGGACACCGCCCGTACCGGCCCCGGGACCCCATCGGTATCGCCGCCCGCCCCGCGTGGCGCCCCCTGGCGGACGCGGCGCCGCCCCGCAGCGCCCCCGGCCCGGTAACCCCGGGGGGACACCGAGCCCCCCCGGCCCGGTAACCCCACGAGCACCGCGCTCCCCTACGAGCCCCAGCGCCCGCAGCCCCTTCTCCGTGTCCGCACCCCCGGGGCTGCAGCGCCCCGGCCGGAGCAGCCGCTCTGGGACGGCCGCTGGGGCCGAGGCGTTGCTGCTCCCGCTCCCATTGTGCCTGGTGTGGGACTGGAGCCCCAGGGAAACACGAGGGAAAAAACCCCAGTGTTAAAAAACCAGTGACAACTGTTTGTTCTTTATTTCCAGAGCCTGGAGGATCATGGAGTCAAATGCTGAGAAGTGACTGGCCCAGCTGCACACTGAACACAGAATTTTGGTGTTCTCAGTACCCTGCTCCAAACACCTGAGCCAATCCCAGGGTTGTTCCAAAGGTCCTATATGGGATGGGGATGACTGCTGCCAGTAAGAGACCTCCTCTACAAATGCAGCTCCTTCCCCTCTGCTAATGCTGCTTTACACACCAGCCCCTGCAATGGCTGTAGGGTACAACTGGCTGGCACTGAACACGTCAGCACCAAACTCTTCCCCATAACCCCGATTCTTCTGCCCTTTCCAGGATTTACCCAGCAGCTGTAAATGTGCTCACGCAATGTCCCTTTGTTTCCCCAGGAAGAAGCGAACAAGACAAGTCCTGAGGGTTACCCTGCTCCGTGGGGAAGTTCCTCTGGAGAGTGGCAGGGGCCGTTTCCTGCAGGTGAGCGCTGCCAGGCCAAAGCGACGGTGGCTGCTGAGGCCGGGGCTGTTTCTGGGCCCAGAGGCCTCGGTGTCTCCTGCTCGCTGCCAGCCGTGCTCCCTCGTGTTCCCTCGGGGTGTCCCAGCTGGCCGGGAGCGCAGGGCAGGAGGAGCAGAAGCTCCTGAAGGCAGCAGCCCCTCGTGTCTGTGGGAGCTGCAGGAGGAGCTGTGCCTGCACCGTGGCTCCTGGGCCAGGGGCTGCTCTGAGCAGGCCCGTGGAAATGCTCCAGCCCACACAGAGCACCAAGAGCCCAGGAGGAGCCCAAGGAGCAGCTGGCATTACCTGGGAATGGAGGCACGGCCCGTTTGCACAGGGGCTCACGCAGCAATTCCCGGTTCAGAGCTCCCACACAGCTGCCAGCCATGTCCCAGCCACCCCAAATCCCTTCCCTCCTGCCCAGCCTGAGGCCACCATCCATCAGCAGCATTGAAGCCAAGGCAATCTTCCCCCACAGGTATTAAATCCCAGGCAGTAGCCCTCAGAGATACCTGAAAATCCAATGGGATGGAGTTTGGAGTTTTTCAGGGATCCAGCTGCAAGTGCACAAGTGGTGGAAAGCTTTCACAGGTAGGTCCCACTGGAGATGTGCTGAAGACAGGGATGTGCATCCCTTTCCTGAGAGAAAGGAATTTGGAGAGGCCACTGCTGAGGCTCTGAAAGGAGCTGAGCTCCTGCAGGGAGAGATGTCCCCCCCTGGGCACAGGGGCTGCCCCAGCACAGGCTGGGAGCACATCTGGCCACTGCCTTCTCCTGCTTTAGACACCAACTGGATGTTCTCCATCCTGGAGCTCAGGGGGGTGAAATCAGCTCAGTTCCAGGCAGCTCTGTCCAGTGACCCCAGGGACACCATTGGGGTGAGGGTTATAAATGCCAGTTCTATGGAATGTAACCCTGTCCTTGTCCCTGTGCTGCTGAGCTTCCTTGGAAGCTCTGCTGGCTCCTGGCACAGCTGCTGTCCAAGGCAGCAGCTCTGCATGGGAATGCCCACACTCCATGGGGCACTGGGAGGTTACTGCAGTGGCAATGGAGCAGGGAATTTGGGGCTCTGGGTGTAATTCATCACAACTAGCACAGCTGACAGGGAACCCCAAATCTGGGCCCCACACAGAGAACAATCTTAGTCCTGCCCTGTCAGCTCAAACCCCTGGGCTGGGAAGTTTTGGGAATTAAATGTATGGAATTATACAAATCACAGCAAGTGGCATCACCCAGAGGGACAATCCAGGTCCCAGACAATTCCTCCACCATCCACTATGAGGGAAAACACCCTGTGCCTGCCAGGAGCTCTGACTCTGCTTTTCCTACCAGCTCCTGAGCAGTGTCAGGGCCACCATGAGAGCTTGAAAATCCAAATAGACCCCATATCCCACACAGTGATATAAATAAATAAATAATCCAAATAAAGAAATGCATTCTTGTCATCAAAGCTCAAAACTGTGTCAGGAGTTCTGACAACAAGTTAATGGGATTCCCAGCAATCTCATCAATGCTCTTGGTTTCATGTTTATGTATTTTTAATCCATCAGTGGGCAGCCTGTACAACTTATCCAGGGATTTAGAGGTTGAGCAGGGCTGGCTTTGGATTGACCTTCACCTCTGGCCCCAGCCTGTGCAAACACACCCTGTGCCAGGGTGGGTGAGCTCCTCACCTCAGCTTTTCCCTCCTAAATATCCCCTACTTATTTCCCTGTAGATTAACTCAGACTTTGCCCCAAACCATCCACTCCTCACCTCCATGTGGCCTCCAAGTGTCCATTCTGCTCCTCACAGGTGCCCTGGTGACACCACGTTGGTCCCTCTGCCCTTCTCCAGCCCGAGGCTGCTCCTCTGCTCGCTCTCTCCAGCCTCATCCCACAGGGATCCTCTTGTCCCTTCCCTGCTGGCTGCTGCCAAGGAAGGAGCACACAGTGAGTCCCAGGGCTGCCCCCTCAGCCCTGGAGAGTCCTGGCTGTGGGCCCTCGGATTTCCCAGGGGAATTGTCTGCTGGGCTCCCTTCAATGACCTCAGCAATTCCCTCACAAATGCCACCTCACTGCCCCTGACATCCCCTCACATTGCATTTTCCTACACAAACAGTTCTTGTATCCCCTCTAGACTACACCAGGTTTTCAGCTACATGAATGGCATCATCTGTGCCCACTGCTCGTTATTCACCCAACCAAAATCAAGAGCAAATGTTGGTTGGGCTTTAAGAACTTGAAATAAATTTAAATCAAAATAAATCACCTTTTTCTTCTGGGTTTTTGGGTTTTTTCCCTTTGGATGCTGGGCTTCCCTCTGAGGATGTGTGCTGAGCTCTGGGTGGAGGGGCCTGTCAGGCTGAATGGCTGAGTTTGTGTTCTTTCACTGGGCATCAGAAATTGCCCCAATCCCTTTCCCAGGCTGTTCCCAGGCTGTGCTCAGGCTGTGGCAGCACAGGCAGACGCAGCTCTCAGCACTCCCTGCTCCAAACACAACTCTGGCCTCCACTGCAATCTGTCTCTGCTGGGAGGTTTTCTCCTAGAGAAATCAAAGAATTGCTCATGGCAATTGGGAGAATGAATTTCCACAAAGGA